CACCATCACCGTCACCTCCGCCACCTTACTATTACAAGTCTCCACCTCCGCCCTCACCATCTCCTCCACCTCCTTACTACTACAGTTCCCCTCCGCCGCCTTTGAAGTCTCCTCCGCCCGTGTATACTTATGCTTCCCCACCGCCGCCAACGTATCACTGAGGAGTTATGATAACTCTACGTACCACACTCTTCAACTTGGCAAGTATGTGATGGTTACTTAGAAATGTATTCTTCCATAACAGTCATATATATTTCCATAATCTTAAACTGAAACTAGTCACCAAATTAAATTTGATTATTATTTTCTATTTTCAGATCCCATTTCAGTGACAGAAGAAATAAGTGAAGGCTTCCGGGAGAAGCGATGATATGGTGCTTTAAATTCATTGATTAATTAATAAGGTCTCTTTAGTACGTATTGGATTCAAGTACGACGTGTTCACAGCTTTATCATCCAAGTGGATGAGCTCATGAGCTCTATCTATTCTTCCTCAGCTCTCTCTTAGTTTTCTTTCACATTTTTCTCTTTGTGTGGATTGTTGAATTTCTCATTTAGTGAAGTATATATACATATGTACTCCCTCTATTCTCAAATAAAATTTTAACCTTCTTTTTTGTTAAAAAAAATTTCTCTTATCTAAACAATTACATAGGTGCAATCTTGTTGGGTATTTATTGATTGATAAAATATGGGTGTGTTCGACATGGATCTTACTAATATTACTTTGTGAAATTTGCAATGAATAAGACTAAAACTTAAGTCATTTCCTAATGTAGGACTTAAACTTTTTTATTCCCTAAATAGGACTTAATAATGACTAGTGAGAAGAACAATGTCCAAGTGATGCTGGACATTTAATTGAATAATGACTAATAGATAATGACTAATGGTCCTACATTGGGAAATAAAAACATATGATCCTATTACTTTAATAGGTGTTGTGAATTTGTGATTAAAATAATATTAAAAGGAAAGTATTTACATGGATGTCATGCAAAACATGTGGTAAAACATGTGGTGTCTGTGTGTGCTTGTGTTAGTTTGGTGTATAAATGGGGTACCCGCCTGATTAACTACAAATAATCCTCCTGTATGGAGGGATGCCGCGCCTTTTATCGAGACACCTAACTACAATACCCATTGTAAAATATACTCCCTCCGTCCCAAAAATTACTACTACTCGATCTCTTTTTTTTTGTCCCACAAAATCTTTCTCTATTATATTAAAAAATCATTTTTATTCTTACTAATTATTAACCTACCTATTACATCATACATTTTTACTAATAATCTACTCATCACATCCTACTTTTACCATTACATCAATGATATTTTTGGAAAATCAACATAAAAACATCTCTCTTAAATTTCTTAAAAGTAAAAACGGGAATATACGGTTCTTCGTAATTAACTAATTATGAAGTACGAATATGTATAACTTCCAAGAAAAAACAAACCATGTGGACTCAAAAAAGTACTCCATTATACAATGAGGGTCACAAGGGTTGGAGTGTATGTTCCACTTGCCACATCTAACAACTTTAATCATTATTGTGAAAGAAACTATTCAAACACACTCACACAACCCTCACACGAATGTAATTTGTGCATAGTTTTGAATGGATTAATGATTCATATTTGTTTTTATTGATTTGTATCTAGAAAATTAAATCCAATACGAAAATGAAAAAAACATTTATTATTTGTTACGTTAACAAATACGAATAAGAGAATGTTGATACCAAATCTTAGGTACGCTATTCATTCAATGCTATAAATTCCTCTATCATATAACTTTGACACTAAAAATTATTCTTGAAGGCTTGATGATAGGTGCTAGTTCAGTGATAGAAGGGGTATTATCTACAGTGGTGACACTATAGGTTTTGGGTTCAATTATACTGGATTTGGCACATGTTTGCATTGGGTAAAAGTTAGAGTGATACGGATAGTTAATTAGAATATTTTGATTAGTTATATTATTTAATTAGTAGTTAGTTACTACTCCCTCCGTCCATAAAAGAACTTCCCACTTTTCTATTTGGGATGTCCACAAATAAACTTCCCATTTCCTTATTTGGTAACTTTTTTATGTTAAAATGACTAAACTACCCTCAACCATCCAAGCCACCCACTTTTTTCCTTTTCTTCTTTCTCCGATCTGCCCATTCTTTTTTTTCTTCTTCTTCTTTTCTTCTTCCCCCATTCTTCTTCTTCCGCCCAGGAGCCACTCCTCTCTTTTTCTTCTTTCTTTCTATCTCCTTCCCCTAATCCACTCCACTCCTTTTGATTTGTTCATACCACACCAATCTTCTTCTTCTTCTTCTTCTTCTTCTTCTTCTTTTTAATTCATTCTCCCTCCCCCTTCCGATTTCACCCACGATTTGGAAAGAGCTCTCAGATTTGACCAGATCTAAAAGTGTACAAAGACAAAAATTGACAAAAGTCTTTTTTTCTTCAGATCTGCGGGGAAATCAACAAGTCCTAAAATAGATTTGCGATGGCAGGGGGGTTGCCTTCAACGAGAAGTCCCAGAACAGATCTGCGAGGAGGGCTTGCGGGTTGTGTTCAATGACTGTCTTCAACGAGAAGACCTGGCCGGAATAGATCTATGACGGCGTAAGGTCTGCGACAGTGGGGGTGGGGGAGGGGCGGTGACAAGAACATCGGCAATGGTGTTGAAGAACGGTCGGTCGGTGAACCGCCGCCGGCGTTGGCAACACCGGTAGATGGCTTATGACGGTGGAGAGGGCAAATAGGTTGAGGGGTATAAGGGGAAAGTCAATACAATTTTTATCACACATAAATTTGCGTGCCGGGTCAAACCGGGAAGTTCTTTTTTGGACGGAGGGAGTATTATTTATCAGTATTTTATAGATTAGAGTTTTTGTATGGGCCCGAGCCCATTAGGTCATGTAGGTGTGGCATCTCATCTCTATATATTGTAATCTCGTATCATTATCATTCAATCAATCAATAATAAAAAATTTCCTTAATCTCTCGTCTCTTTGTTCTTGGAGCCCGGAAACGCTCGAAGTTTTCCTTCTCTCCCTCCCCTTTCTTGGAGTCCGAAGACGCTCGAAGTTCTTCCCTATCCGATACGATATTCGTATCAATTGGTGCTCTCATTGAGAGTAAAAAAACTCAAAAAAAAAAGATCGAGAAAAGAATTGCTCGCCGCCATCGCAGCATCTCCATCTGCAGAATCTCCGCAATCAAACCTAGACGCTGCAAATTTATTTTACACCGCCCAAACCAGATCCGTTGCAGTGGGATCACGCCGCCGGTTGGAAAATCACTCTTAAAGGGGATTGATAGTGCATAATCATCAATTGGGGGATTTAATTGTCGCCAATCAATTCATCAAAGTGCAGCCACTGGAGTAATTTCTTTGGAGCTTTCAAGACCAATTTGCTCATCGCATGCAGTCCGTATATATTCGTGGGCAGTAAGTCAGAAAAAAAAAGTTTTTTGGTGATATTTTTGTGTGGAAGTGTTTATTTTGAAAATGGACTCTACATTTGAAAAACTCATTGATTTGCTGGAAAAAGTTCTTTATGGAGAAATTGAGCATGATGAAGGAGTGTGTATGATTTTTGATCATGTGTATGAAGTCTGATAGTGTAAATTACTTGACCGGTCAAACTATACTAGACCGGGTCTAGAGTAGTTGGCTTAATTCAGTAAAGCAAAGAAAGTAAAAACACTCAGTATGACCGGTAGGACTTTAGGTGGAACACCTGTAGCCCGAATTATCTTATAATAGAGAATGCACGGTCACTTTTACAAGGGGGTTTAGAGAGAATGAATTCGGATCCCCTTCTTCGAGGGTTACAAGTGCTATATATACTAAGCTAGGGGGCAAGACCACGTGCGCCCACGTGGGGGCACGTTGCTGATGTATTGCGAGGTGACTGATCTGCGTAGCCTTGTCATTTTGCGTGGGGGGCTGCGCCTTTGTCGTGCTCTGGTTTGGAAAGATGCCTTCAGCATCTCGGCAATTCCAACCACTATAGTCCAAATCCTTTTGGATTCCTCCTGCCGACACTCTCCGATCTTCGGAAACTAGACCGGGTGATCTTCGAGGGTTGGTTTGGCTAACTTCGGAGGATGAATTTAGGCGATGGAGTAGT